AAAAAAATGGTAATAAATCAGGGCAGGAAAACAGATATAAAGTGATGGAATGTAGAAAAGCAGAGAATACAAATTCACACATAAGGCAACATCTGAATATATCTTCTGCTCTTTTATTTCTGCCTAACATACTGTCAACTTATTTCAGCATATTCTAATAGCCCTGCTCTACATAACAATGATGAATATGTATGAACTGATCATCTGCTTCTGCACTATAATGAAGCCAGTTTAACAGTGGTGTCATCTGAGGTCTCCATTTACTTAACAGATTTACATAGCCAATGCTCTCATCAGGGACCTTTACAGGTAGCTTAACTCTTTTTAACCCTCCTATAATCTTTATGAGGTAGACATCACTATCTCCAGATATGAAAAGAGTCAAAGTCACCTGAGGACACAACGCTGAGACGACACAGCTGAATCTAGGCACTCTGGCTCCCAGCCCAGGTTCTTGCACCGCCTGCATGTAAATTATAATTTAATTTCTAATTAAAGGCTGCAATTGGTCTCTTATAGTGTAACAATTAGTCTCTTACAGTGTACATCTTGGTGGTTCTTTTCCATGGGAAGTATGTTTTGTGCATGCTCTTATTTTCAAGTGTTACTGAGACACTTTTCAGTATACTACACGCATTTGTAATGGCAAGTCCAACAAAGGTAATACTGAAGCATCCTGCTCTTTAGGTATCCATGATGATACCGCTGCCAGCACCACAGTTGGGATAACTGTTTCCAGTTCGAAGGTGAAATAATTATTGAAGGTAAGGGAGTGGTTTATAATCACAAAGGACTCTGAGAAACAGATGACCAGATACACACTAGTCAGTTTGCTAAATAAAACTGTTTGAAAATCCAGACAACTCTTACCTTTGTTTCCATCATTTTAAAGGAAAACTTTATCAGATCTAAATTGTTTTTTTTTTTTTTTTCTTTATAGGACTTCATTAAGGGCCTTTCCATTTTGCTTCGGGGGACAGTACAAGAAAAACTCAACTGGGCGTTTAACTTGTACGACATAAATAAAGATGGCTACATCACTAAAGAAGTAAGTGACGCCTCACTTGAACCATTTTCATTTCTTCAAAGTGTTAAGCAACTGCAATCATTAATTTGCAGATCACCTTTTCAGGAGATTCAAAATATTTTATGTGGTGGTGAGACATTCAATAACAAAATGCAGAATGGAGTGGAATAGTCTGGGTGACTCCAAAGAAAATACAAAGCATGTCAAGATTACATCCTTGTTTCCCACTGTCACTTTTAAACTGGAAAGGAAGTAAAGATTGGTTAAAATCAGATGGAAAGAAAATGTATCTAAACCATGTTAGAATATCTGGCCTGAAAACTTTCTTCCTCCATATATGATTTCTGTGAAAACATGCAGTTTTGCAATCATATGGATTGTGCAATGACCTGTGTTTTGTGGGGATGACCCTGGCTCTCCAAACACAGACCAAACTAAGATGCTCAACAGTTCATAATTTATACAGCAATTTAAAGTAAAGAAACAAAGGGAAAAGGATGATGTAGGTAAATCATACTTCAAAGAGGGCGCAAAGAGGGTTAGAAGAGGATCCTACACAAATCCTGGGCATGCTCAATCTTCATATGCCCGTTTCTCTACTTCACTAAGATTCCCCAGAGATGAGCTTTGAAGAGGGAGCTCCAGACAGAAGGTGCCAGGAATGACAATATGAACCTGCTCTGCTCCATCAGAGAAACACAAGAAAGGTGTCCCTGGTCAGTTACACATTAGCAGTCATGGATTTTGTGTTTCTTAATCAAGAGGACACCCAGGGTCAGAACCAATGGGTCCTGAGCTAAGACTTCATGAATATTAAGTGCTCGTGCATACGGCACATTTTCTGAATGAGTGTTTCTTGTATATTTGCTATAACACATCCATGCATTACCCAGGTGACACAGGAACATTAACTGTGTCTTAGTCCTTCACTTCCTTTCTACCCCTTTCTGGCTTAAAAACATGTCTCATTATTAATTCTTTCATCTAAGCAGACTTCTTGCTAATTATGTTCAAAACATCTTAAACATTTTTACCTATTTTACAAATTAAAAACTATGCCGTTTATAATAAATGTGAATACTCTTAATAGTAACACAATCCACCTAATTTAGACTTATCTGAAACAATAAACCTAAATATCTAACCCAATAGGTATTTTCACTCATAAGATAGATCAAAAAGGACAAGGCAAAACTAGATTTGGCTTTATTTTAAAAGTCACTAAAATTTTAAGATGTTTCCCAGCTTCAAAATATTTAGACTATCATTCATATAGAGCTGCTTATTCAAAATCAGGAAAAAATAATGAAAATCCTAATCAGCTTTAGTAATTATAATTAATTAGCTATAATCTGTAATGTCAGTGATTCTAAGTGCAATGTATTTTATTCTCAATAAATGGAAATTGGTAATCGATAGCTATATAACAACTCAATAAAACAAAGTCTATGGAAATCTAAACATTAAACCAAAATATTTCTTTACTGAATGTGATAGATATGAGAACCAATTTCATCTTGAAACCAAGATCAGAACTGATTCTCACATCTCATTCAACTGCTTTTAAGGAAAAAAGCTGTTACTGGCTTTGCCTTTGACAAATCAAAGAAAGGTCAAAATTTTGAAACTAAGTGGGAAAATGCGTCATGCATCTTGGACTGGTTTCTTTGTACTTGTCTGCACTCTGCACTCATGCACACACCCTCTTTCAGGAAATGCTGGATATCATGAAAGCAATATATGATATGATGGGTAAATGCACATATCCTGTCCTCAAAGAAGATGCTCCCAGACAACATGTTGAGACCTTTTTCCAGGTAGGAATGACAACCGAAGTAGGGGACAGAGGGGAGCAAAATTATAAGCAACTTTCTTCATGTCTGCAAAAGCACTGTGATGATTCTAAAGAGTTTATTTTACTGAGACAGTATTGTCCATCTAATGTCATAATTTTGGTTTTGAACTTATTAACTGGTAACTGTACCTAGGGAATATTCAGTCTATCCTAAATAGAACACAAGCAATTCTCAGGTTTCACAAGTTTTTCTTTCAATTCTTAAAAAATCCTGTGACGTTAAAAATCCTGATTAATCCCATTTTATAGACAAGAAAAAACAGCACTGTAAAAGTTTCAGCATATTGATTGAACTCACCATGTTAAGTTTTACCTAGGACAGAATGACTCTCATCTGTGAAAGGGCCCAGACTGGAAAGATTTGGCCACATCGTTCTGATTTCCAGGAACCCACTAGTTCCTGCTGTGAAGCAAAGTCCTCCACACTAAAAAAGTAGCTGGGTTCTTTTTATTGGCTTCCACCCATTGGGTTCAAGTGTTAAGGGTATCACACAGAAAGCCTTAATAAATGTTGTTCTTTTTTTTCTTCCTGTACAGAAAATGGACAAAAATAAAGATGGGGTTGTTACCATAGATGAGTTCATTGAAAGTTGCCAAAAAGTAAGTAATGGCAGGAAAGTACTAGCACTTTAATTTTATAACAGCTACCGCATTACCTGTTAGCCACCATGAACTGAGCAAGACAGAAGGGTCAAATTATCTTAAGCTTAGCACCTCTACCACAGGTAAGACAGGCCTACTACTTTGTAAACAATGCTAACTTACACTCCTTCGATCAACCTGAGTGCCTACTCTAAGGTGTGCTAATTAGGAGGGCTTGGAGATACAAAAATACTCACTTCATATGTTTCTTTCCAAACTTTTGTCAGTGTTTGTTACTGACAAATAACGGTCTTCTAACACATACACACACACACACACACACACAAAATAGAGCAGGCATTTATGGACAGAAATGTGGGTGGTTACCTGTCTTCTGGAAAATGAGTGTTAGTTTATTTACAATTGTTTCACTTGATGTGCAGGAAGGACCATGTGTGCATGCAGGACCACAGTTAAGATTTTTTTTTAAAATCATGGAGGCAGAGAAGTCGATTGGGTGATTTAGGTTTTCTCTTTATTGTTAAATTCTTATTCTCCACCTTTCCTGACATCTGCTTGTTTTTCAACTTACCTTTTGTTTTGTTTTGTTTTTTGTTTTTTGAGACAGGGTCTCACTGTATAGTTGAGACTGACCTGGAACTCACTATGTAGCCCAGGCTGGTCTCGAACTCACAGAGATCCTCCTGCCTCAGTCTTCCAAGTGCTGGGATTACAGGCATGCACCACCATGCCCGGCTTCAACTTACCTTTTGAAGTGGTGGTCTTGCAGAGAATTAGCTCAGTGACATCAACTTACTTAATGGTGTGTCCTCAGCTTGGTTTCAAACAGGGGAAGCTGTAACTGGTTCAGCCACCATTCCCCGTGATTAAACAGCTAACAAAGAGCATTCCCGTACCACTGACCAAGGTGCCTATAAAGTGTCCAGTCTGTCATGGTAGCTCACTTCTAAGGACAATGCTGACCTGGACACAGCCACTGTGCAATGGTTTCTTTCATCAGTGCTTTATGTTGGCAATGACAGACTATTTCTTTTTAAAGGCCACAAATATTTAGCCGTAACTGGCAAATGTAGACAAAGGCATATGATTACTGTGTACATTCGTTCCCTTTAATCCACTACCAGCCTGCCTCCTATACCTAAGCTCAAATCCTCAAAAGCGGGCAGGAAGCTGTCATACACATGAGATTTGCTGTGGTGTATCTGGAACGGCAAAATTCCCATTTACTCACTTTTACCTCCTGCACCTCTCTGGTTTCCAGAAATTCAGCATTATGCTAAGAGTTAAAGGAAATGTTTAGAGTCAAGAAAACATCAGCTGGGCCATCCATGGCGATCTATGTGGCTAACATAATGGCATTTGTATGTGCAAGTAGTGTGTGCGTGCAGTGGCATAGGCAGTTGGCAGGAGGACGCAGTAGTTATGGGCACAGTAGTGTACTGTTTCCTGCAGATATGCTGAACTGAATCCTTGTGCTCCTCCTTTACAGGATGAAAACATAATGCGCTCCATGCAGCTCTTCGAAAATGTGATTTAACTTGTCAAATAGATCCTCAATCAACAGACAAATGTGAACTACTCTACCACACTTAAAGTTGGAGCTACCACTTTTAGCATAGATTGCTCAGCTTTCTACTGAGGCATATTATGCAAACAAGCTTTGTTTTAATCTAAAACAAACCCTGAAAGATTTGAGTTTTCCAGCTATAATTTGCATCTTTTTCATAATGGCACTGAGTTCATGAGATGTTCTAACTCATTTCATACTCTGTGAATATTCAAAAGTAATAGAACCTGGCATATAGTTTTGATTCTTTAGTCGTGGAATTGAGGCTTTCACATATTAATGATTTTAAAATATCAGTGTTTTTTGCTATTCATTTGTATGTATTCAGTCCTAGGATTTTAAATCATTTTCTAAAATATTTACATCTGTATTTAATTTCCAGAAATTAATTTCATTTACTTACATTTATATAACATTAACAAAGTAAGATTACAATTAAAAGCCAAAAACACATAACTCAATTTCTATAGATTTCCCACCTTCTGTTAAAGACATTACTTTATCTGACATTTTTTATAACAAATTAGTTTATTACCAGATGTTAGCATATGCCTGATACTTATTTTAGTAAGCACTTCCTAATTTTCCATATAACATATTACAGCAAAGGCCTAGAAAATATGTACATTTTGGATTTGTTTAATCTTACAGGTGGACTGTATCAAGTATGCCATTAAGTGGAAGTTCAGAACAAGGATGTTTACAGACATAGGCAAAGGGTCAGGATATCTGTCCTCCTGTACACAGTAACGCTTAGTAAAAAGTAATCCTTAGCAGCATTAAAGACCGATTCCATCTCCTTTGCCCTGACTTCCCCACAGCATGTTTATATTGCAAGCCCTCTGGGATCAAAGAAACCTTGGTCACCCAAAGCTACTAGGAACGAAGAGCAAGCAGAATCCATTTTGAAAACAACAGTGATTCTATCATATTGACAACCACTACCAAGAGTTCACAGAAAAAGAATATCAATGTTGAACTCATCTGGATTGCATTACAATTTAGCTCAACATAGAACTCCAATAATTCAGATTCTTCCTAACAATTGTAAGCCAAAACTGTAAAGTTGCCACGACAGTACTATAGATACACACATCTTCTGTTTGGTAGAACTATCAAAGACCAAGAGGCTGCAGGAGGATGAAATCTGCAATTGTCTTTGCAACAATAAATCAGGTATCTATTCTGGTGTAGAGAGAGGATGTTGAACGCTGCCCTGCTACCACCAGTGTAGAAATTAAGAGTAGTACAATACATGTACACTGAAATCTGCCATCGCGTGTTTGTGTAAACTCAATGTGCACATTTTGTATTTCAAAAAGAAAAATAAAAGCAAAATAAAGTGTTTATAACTCTATCATGTTCTGGATCTTTGTTCTAACCAACTTTGTAATGAATTACTAGATTTAAAACATTACTTTTTTGCAGCACTTTCAGATTGTAGATATGTGTGGACGATACTAACAGAAGGAAAATCAAGCAAGACCAGGGGCAGGCAGCTGTTGCACAGGGCATGATCTGAGGATGTGATGAAACACAGTACCACATTGAACCGGAAAGCAAAATCGCTGAAAGAGGAGTAGTACTTCTCCATTGTGGTGCCTTAGAAATTAATGGTGTTCTTTTAAATTAGAACTGTGAGACTATTATCTGAAATGAGAACTGCAGAGTTCAACTGAGGGGCAGAAAAAGGAAAGCATTTTCTCCAGCACTTCTGGGAAAGAAGACTGCTACTCTATGTTAAATAGTGATTTCTCATCGCTGTCCTCCACACAGGGTATTACCTGGTTCTGGATTTGGTGTGGATACTCAAATCTCAACAGCCTTTCCTCGCCAGTTTTCTATTTCTCTTCCGCTATTCCTTCTCTAACAGGATGATCTAAAGTCTGCTTCTACTGTATCAGTAATTCTAAACTGTATGTGGAAATTATGTTCTAAATGCATTCTTTAAAAAAAAACCTAATCATTCAACATTAAGTAAGCAAAACAAAACCACTAAATACATGTAAGAGTTTTAAAATTTTAATTTGAGTATCTATATATGTTCATCAGTATTTTCAGGCTCCCAAAATGCAAAAATAACATTTACTTAAATATAACTAATACCTAAAATTTAGGTAGTTCTATTAAGTTGTAATAAACAACATACTTGTAATGAAACTTACATATTTCAAAAATTCTTAAACTAGAATAATCTGGAAATTTTTTCCAAGCACTCTACATTATAAAATATGTATTTAAAAATAATTTTAGTGTATTCACAAGTGTTTTTCCATTATTTTAACCTTCACAAACTTGAGAAATACAAAACCCAAGAAATAACACCTCCCCAGAAATTTACAAAAGTGCACAGCTACAAAATGATTACAAAACAAATGTTATAAATAAGGCACTAGAAAAAAATACATCTGATCTTGTAAATTCAATAATAGTTCTCAACACAAATAATTCTTGAAGTTCTTTTAATAGCGTCTCATTATTACCCATTCTTTTTTGTTGATGAATAAACTTTATTCAGTAGAACTTAATATATTCATCTTAACTTGTAAATACAAGTAATGAAGGGTGGAAGTGATTTACAAAAATAAATAGAGTGAACTGAACAAAGGCTGATGAGTATCCACGGTCAGTGTACGACACCTTATCAGCAGAAAGATGACATTTTTTGGCTCCCTTATTCAACAGCATATAGAGCAGTATGTTGGAATTTTAGATTTGATGATTATAAGGCTTCCCTGTCAACAACAAAAAACTGGAATCAGTACCATGAAGTTACCTCAGCAGGTATTACACTTGTAGGAGTATGCCTAAAATGTCTCCAAAACTCAAGACAAACAGAAACGGGCCAAGAACAAAACGAGAGAATGAGAAATGGTAGTGGAACTTAAGTTTCTGGAGGAGTAGGAGCCAGTCAAATATTTAAATTCACCCTCTTCCAGTTATTTCACTGTCAAAGCCAGACTAATTGCTTCTCTGAGCTGCAGTTTCCCTCCTATAAAGGAGGGGAACAACAAAGTCTACCTCTGAGGATGGTACTTAAGAGTAACTGAGGTTAAGGCCTTAAAAGAACTCAGTAAAGTATGGCCATGAAGTTTCTCAGTAAAGAAATAAAGATTAAGCTATGTGTAAGATACGCCTTTCCCAAGACAAATGAATATATTACTTAGAAAGAAAATTAAATCAGCCCAAGAAGGAACTGATTTCATTTTAAGGCAGTTAACAACAAGATCAATGATAAGAAAGTGACTGTGTGACTGTAATGGATGCTTACTTTCTCAGAAGTTCGGACTTTACATCACTACAACATACACATGCCATAAGAAATGTGAAACTGAACTGCTGAGAATGTTTTTAAGACATGTCTAACATTTAAGAAAAATCTTAAATAAGCTTTAAGTTCTTAAAAGAGAATGAAGAGCATTCATTAAACTCATGTAGGACTGAAAAGTACCAAAAGCAAGCACAATAATAATTAACCAAGAGAAAGTCTTTGATATATAACTTCAATAGAAATTTGTCTGAAATTATATTATTTTTAAAATATTAAGTAGGACAGAAAGGTATTAGAAATCTGAGTAAGTAATGCTTAAGATCCCCAACAATGACAAAAACTTTTTCATTTTATTTATTCTTTATTAATACATTCAAAGCTAATAAAACTGAGTCCCAATAAAAGAGAAACTCTATTTTTCAGCTCTAAGATTAACAAATACATCCTCTATATTCCAGGTCCAAATCCTAACGTGCTATTTCTAAAATTTATTTTACACACACTCACACCCACTCATGAAACACCACATGCTGGCCCTGTCCCTTTTCACTGTCCCGTTTCCCACAATGGTCCACAGGATATGGAAAGCCAGGTAGGGAGAGTTTCAGAATAAAAAGCAGTCACTATTATTTAGCATCTGTTTACTTGCATTTTGTGGGAAGAGCAAACAGATTTTCCAGTCATATTCATGTAACAGGCAGCACATTTGCAAGCAAGCAGTTTGCTTCTGCTAAGAGGGGACACTGGACTGGCCAGGGAACAGTTCTATACATCTCTTCAACAACGCATCTGACTGCTTATCCTCTGTCCAGGACTCCAACACAATAAAAAACCAAAGTGTGCAGCAGGATTAGACTTGTACTTTCTCTTCATCAATTTTTCTCTATGCATTCACCATGGAAAGAATGCAATCCACTTAACAGTCATTGAAATTAGTCAACTTGGATAATTTATGCAAAATTTATACCAAAATGTCTGTCATTTAAAACTCTATACAATAACCCAAATTTTCTTGTAATTCCTGTAGAAAAACTATCTCAAATGAAACTATGTTCTGCAATGTTAAGATAAAGACACATACCTCTATCATTACAATCTGATAAATATAATCTCCAAAACCAGACTTACTAATATCTGAACACTTCTTTCAAACAATAAAAATCCAACTAATGTTGTTATTTGACAATGCATAGTAATAAAATCCCCCACATTCTCGCTCTGTGGAAAGTGAGATAATCACCTGAGCTGTTCTGGAGTGGGTGTATGTGAATCGTGTGTGAGGAGCGCGCTTTGTGAGGTACAGTCATTTGCTAGTTTTGTTTCAATCTTTATGGATAAATCCTAAAACTTCAAGGCATGGTAAGTACAAGGGGAAAAAGGGGGATGAGGGTGTAGCTCAGTGGACTACTTGCTCAGAATCTGCAAGGCCCTGAGTTTGACCTCTAAGACTAAATAAATAAATGGATAAAAATATCTGATAAGCTCTAAATTCCCTCTTTTTAAATTTTTTTCTAGACTTTCAGGGGTCAAAAAAAAAGTCTAAAATATTTGAAAGAGAAAAACCAAAGCTGCAGTACATACAGTGTGGTGTGGTGAGCATAGTGAAATATGCAGCCCCTACATGTCCCTGGATCTGAGGCCTGGTCCTTAAAAACTATGTGAACCTGCCAAGACAAACTCTGAGGTCTAAAAAGCAATGTCTAAAAAGAAATATCACATTATCACCTTCACAAGGTTACGCGCAGCTGAAGATATGTTAAATATACAGTCAGTTTTTTAATACAATTAAAATTTTTCTAAAAATTACTTAAGGAACGAGGCTCTACTTACACTTCCACCATGCTGCTCTAGCTTCTGTAATGCACTAGTGATCGGCTCTTTGAATTTCTTGTCCATCAGTCTCTTGGATAGCTTTTCAAGTAAAACAGGGCAGGCAGCATAAAAAGATTTGAAAAAGTAACAATGACCTCTCTTGGGCAACATCTCATCAAAATGTACATGTACTAACCTGAGTTCCATCCCCAGTACCAACAAAATAAATAAATAAAATGTACATGTAATAGGGCCAGGGATTTAGCTCAGCGATTCGGTGGCCTGCCTTGCAAGTGCTTGCAAGGACCCGAGTTCAATATTTCATGTTCAAATGTTTTATGAATTACTACATCTCTATGTTTTGGTTAGGGTGGTGAGATTCTTTTTAAGGCTTTGAGACATTCTCTAGTGTTGCAGTACTTACGCTGGTAAGCACATGTTTCAGATAATCATTTAGAGAAGGACCAACCACAATGCTCAAAAAAATAAATAAAATGTACATGTAGTAGACACTACTGTATTTGCTTACCAAAGTGAATTCATATTATTTGAAGTAACATTAATTCTGCACTATGTGTTACAGTATAACTGGAATAAGTTTCCTATGAAATAGCAGAGCTTTCATTTTCATTCTGTAAAAATGCAAGCACTGGAGGACTATGATAGAAAGCCGTGCTTCTAAAGAACACATTTTCCTACCATAAAAGGTGACAAAACCAGAGCACTGATGTGAATAATTCAATAAAGATACAGAAATGAGACTACAAGCCACCAAGACCACTGTTACATCTAAACTGGGGCTTTTGGAAGGTGACTGGGTCATGGTGGCTCATAGCTGACCTGTTAGGAGGTGGGGTCTGGTTAGAAGAGACTGGTCACTGAAGTGTAGTCTGGAAGGGCTCATCTTCCTGCCCTGCCTCCTCCCTTCACTCTCTGCTTCCTGTCTGCCATGAGGTGAGCAGTGATTCCTCTGCCATGTTCTTGTGTCATGCCACCCCCCACTTAGAGCCAGCAGATTATGAGCTGAAATATGAGCCAACATAAAGCTCTCCTCCTCAAACTGTGGGTAATGAGTATTGTGCCTCAGCAATAAAGAAAGTGACCACACAACCACTTATCCCAAGGTATAGTCTAGGTAGGTCCTAACTGCAAAGGTGGAAGTTTCTTTTAAAAAGCAAAGGGCAGAAGTGAGAACAGAATCACAGGAGCAGGTAGAGAAATAAGAAATTTAGGTAAACAAGCACAACTTACAACAGTATTCCCACCAAGCATGTGCACTGCTGCACCCAAATACCGAAACAATTCAGCTGGTAAGACCTGCTCATGGGTCTAACTTTCTGGAAATACAAATGAAGTCCAGGAAAGAGTTCATCATTCATCAAACATTCTTGTTGCTTTCTGCTCTTTCCTCCTTGCAGGTATGAAAGTAACCCCGTAAGAGTACTTCACACCACTGAGAACTGAGTAACAAAGCCCTTCATGATGCAGTGGAAGATGAAGAAGGTCAGAAAAGACTCCCAGAAAGATAAACAATGGAACAAAGACAACTACAAAGAAGAGACTCACAGGACCCTGAGGACTGACAAGAAACAGTCTCTCCACAGTCCTTCACTTTAATGCCTCAGACTGGGTAGCAGGTCTGCTTCTCCACTCCTCTCCTCTTCGGGGATGATTCTGGCTAGGACATCACTATTTACACATCAGTGTGTAGTAAAGGATTAACTTCACCTAAAGAAAGGTTTGACCCTTACCCCTACCTTCTGGGTAGTAACCTCCATGATCTCAGAATGCACTGCTGCCAAGAAAGAGTGTCTGTGTTAACCTGAGGGCTTTGGGCCAGACTAATCCAAACTAACAGTGTGATTTATGGTGAGGTCACTGGGCCACAGAGTATCAGCTAGATCTGGAGAGGCTAATGCCACAGCCACCCATACAAGGCAGGCAGTCATGCCTGAGACAGAACCCAGTAAAGCCCTGGACACTGAGGCTCAGCTGTGCTTCTCCGGTTGGCAGTACTCCAGGCATGCTCACACAGGTAGTGCTAGGAGAGTAAGCAATGACCACCATACAATTTTGCTAGAACAGGCAAACTTGAGTTTTGAGCTTGCTCTCTCCTGCTCCATGCATCTCTTCAGTGTGCTGACCTTAATGTGTACTGTTATGCTGTAAGAAGCTAACCATGAACAACAGCTTCTCTCCATTTCATGAGTATGTCTAGCAAATCATTAAACCTAAGGGTCTCAGGAGATCTCCTCAACTACAGGTCCCAAATGTTTATCCTAAATATAATTTATATACTCACAATGAAAAATTAAAAACAGAAAAGATTGGTTTTCATAATACTCAATTACAAAAGAGGGTGCATGATCACACTAATGACCACAGGTATAATACCATTATATTTCTCATTCATTGTTTTATCCATTTAACTTTATTTACTTCTCATAAGCCTAAAGCCTGCTCTTCTACGTACTTTCCACTAAAATAAACTTAAAGAGGGCTGCGGATTTAGCTTAGTGGTTCTGCCAAGAGCCTCACAAGTGCAAGGACCTGAGTTTGATCACCGGTACCAAAAACAAAACGGAACAAAATTAAAGAGAAACACTCTTAACTGTCCATTAGTAAAATGTTTTATGAATTACTACATCTCTATGTTTTGGTTAGGGTGGTAAGATTCTTTTTAAGGCTTTGAGACACTCTCTAGTGTTGCAGTACTTACGCTGGTAAGCACATGTTTCAGGTAATCATTTAGAGAAGGACCAACCACAATGCTCAGCTGCACCAAAGCACTCAACCCTCTTTCGAACACTCCATCGTCTGAGTGGACCTGTTAGGGTTGGTTAATTAGGGCCACAATGAGGTGGGGTGGGAAGAAGTTTGTGAAAAGGGCAAGCGGGTCGGGAAAAAAAGTAAGATTAAACATTTAAAATCAGAAGATAATCAACAACAATCAGAATTTTAAAAATAACTTTCAATGCTGAAGATCTAGAGGCAAAACATAAATTTTAATTAAAATATATATAGCTTACAGAAAAACTGAAGGGAGGTTTATCATTTGCTCTAATTACTCAAAACGTCCCTTCTTGAGAACATGCTCTAAAGCTATTTTCAAGGACATAACCATGCAGCCCTTTGGGGGCTATAGCCATTTACACTGGCTTCATTTTGCACACACATCAAAACCACAAGCAAAGGTCTAAGTTGGGTATAATGGAAGAAGGGCATAAAATCTTCTAATATCAGAACTTTTTCTCTCATGTGATTTGAAAAAAAGTACAACGAAATAATTGACATACCAGAGCTGCCTTCAGTACAGGAATCAGTCTAGGTAGCAAAGGTGTGGCCTTCTCAGGAGCATCTCTGACCAAAAGTAATTCTCTGAAACCCTCCTTGGACACAAAGGTATATGGATGTTTAGTCTCTCTTAGACCCTGACAAAGACAAAAACCCCCCAAAAGGCATGATTCACTACCATTTTATAATGCTAACAACAGAAAAATTGAATCCTTATTAGGTTAAGTGAAACCTTTTGGTCATAACACATAATTTCAGCAATTACAACTTAAATTACACTGAGAAACTGTGGAAAAAAGGACACGTACGAGGCAAGAGGAATATCTGCCCACAGAAGAGATCAAACAGAAAAGAAATGAACACAAACATTAAGAAAAGGGAAAGCAAAAGAAAAGAATAGGAGAGGCAAGGAAAAAGAAAAAATTTAAATGTATGAAAAATAGTGTACGAAAGATGGAAAAGGGAAAAAAAGAAAAAGAAGAAAAATTATTAGGATGTTAAAATTATTTTGCATGTACCCCTAAACACTGAAAGCACAGCCATTTGAAATGTATGTTTATAACCACCCCATATAAATGCCAAACTATTGGACTCCCTATCTTTAAAGTGATTTTTACAATTTGTTTAATGCATTCCTAAAATATACTTACTATATTTAAATATTCTACAGTCAAATATTTATAAGGCAAATTTTATACTATATACAAAAGGATTTTGAATGTCATTTTTAACTCTGGAATACAATCTATAAGTAAGAGGAAAACTTGACTGGATCATTTCTCACTGTGCCACTTACCCTAAATGCTTAAGAAACCATTAAATAGCAATCTTCCAAGACTGAATCAATTACTGCAAGTCTTTTTTTTAAACTGGGGATCGAAATTGGGTCCTTGCACTTGCTAGACAGGTGGTGGAACCACTGAGCTAAACACCCAGCCCATTCACTGCAAGTCTTGATACAAGGGCCACCCAATTTTTTTCAGAGATAAAACAAAACAAAACAAAAAAAAACAAATAAAAATTAATATCCAAACTCCTTCATTTGACTATAAAGTAAACAAATATAACTTGCCACAAAGCCATGCTTAGAATACTAATTTTCAACTAATTTGTAATTTACATCTAAATATCTATTTCAAATACTGATCAAACTTTTCCTCAATCCTATCACATTTTTGAAAACTATGCTGCCCAGTGCGTGGGCATCGTTCAGGAACAGAGCTTCTAGTGTTTTAGGAATACCTGTATCCTATTCATTTTAGAGATGAGTCTCAGCTCAAAAGCTGAAGTGCATTTCAAAAATGGTTTTTCTGTACTACTTCCCATTATTACATGAGTAGAAGAGAAAGGCAAAACGTTAGTCCATACATAAATAAAAGCCCTGGTATCAGACAGTAGGGCTGACTTGATGTGGTGTGAAGTCCAAGACCCCTTAAGTTCTCTCAGAATTAAAGCTCTCCATGCACCCTGGTTAGCTGGAGCAAGCAAAGATATCACAGTTTTGAGGTGTAAAAAACAGATTCCTACTGTTTATAAAATGTTTAAAGTTTTATAAGGAACTAAGGAAACATCAAATCTTTAGTATTAAGTTTAAAAACCTTCTTTAATTAAATGTGACCCAATTTCAAAATAAGGTTCTCATAAGACTATACTGCTTATAATACTAAAATAATTTTGCAAGCTCAGTTATAAGTTACGAAAAACAAACATTTATTAAGTCAGAATAGCAGCCTCCTGGTTGTAACTGACAAAACCCTTAAAATTAAATGCAGCTGTAAACTTAAAGCAGGAACTTGAGATTTTTATTTTATTATGAAAAAAACTCCACTGGCAAAATTACCTACTTTTTTTCAACTCTAGTCTCACCCTCTCCACACACAATGTTTTTATAGGAAAGGGAAATCTTTCTTTAAATTAAAAAGCTTCCACTGCCAAGCTTTTACTGACATTATTACTTTATTTACTTTATGGCATTGACTATTAGATTAATATTATCAATGCCTTAATTTATTCATTGGTTTAACAAAATGGTCTTAAAAAAAAATCAAGGAAATAAAAGTTTAAATGTGAGACAACCAGCTAAATTCATTTCTCTAGTTCTGATTTTAGGAATAAAAGTCACAAAAGGCACTGCTGATTCACTTCAAGGTAAAACTTTGCCACCTTTTTTCCTGACAAAAATGTTAAGCCATATAAAGGAAAACTATCAAATTTTTACATAATCCCCTATAAAGACCAGCCCATGATACGCCTCTAAAACATGCACAGTAGTGCGCAGAGCTGGCAATTGCTCCACATGGACATGTAGGTGGCTGAGATCATTTCCTAAGACCATTATCAGCACAACTGGTTGTAGAGACAAAGACTCTCTTATTATCTGCCATCATTTAAATTTTAATGCTGTTTTCCTGGCTTATCTAATACAAAAAAAAAAAAATCTCCCTCCTCCTTAAAATTCCATATATTTTTAATTTTTGAATTAAGTATGAATATTTCATCCACTTATCTAGAAATCCCCAGTAGATTAGTATCATGTTTATAAAGTTGGTTAGTCAATATCTAGTAAATATATGACAATCATAATTACTTCCTAAGGGGGTGTAACATTTTAAAACCTATTATTTCTTATTTAAAAGTATAAAACGAGATTTTTTTATGATCCTCAACAAAGCATTTAATGCAATTTTAAAAGATTTTCTTAACATCCAAATTAACATTTAGAGAGATGAACTATTTACCTCAGCTAAAGTAATAAGGAGAGGATCAAATGGAAGATTTTCAGGAGGACATTCCCACTGTAATCTGTGTTTTACTGAACCATGTACCAATCTAAAATACAAAAAATAGTGAATACAGGAATCTTCTAATGGACATACTGTTTAGAGTATAAATGTATTAGAATTATTTTGTAACATACAGGAAGATCGTGATTTTTTAAGTTACTGCCAGAGCCTGCAATACTGATTATACCCAAAGCATGCTGTAGGCAGTACATGCTGAAAAGAGTTAAATCTCTCATTTAGCTCACTTTAATAAATCTCTACCCAAGAAGTTTACATAAATTTCCATAAGTTTAAAGACATTTTCAAAATAATGGCTATAATCCTACAAAGGCCCACATTTTGAGCAAAGTTGGCAACCCTGCATTTGTTAAATCTATAATTACAGTATTTGATCATATTATTATTCATTAATCTTAATGCTAATGCTCCAATTGCTAGCTTTTTGTCATAATTACAACAAAATACATGACTGATAGAAAATATTTTTAAAAATGCAAAAAAATGTAATTAGAAAAAAAGCTTTTACAAAGAGCTTTGTTTTTCATACACAGATCATTTGACCCCAACACTAATAATGTAAGGAAAGGCCGATTTAATCCCCGTGACAGAGAAGGAAACAGGTGAGAAGGTAGAATGGCCCATTCAGGTAGCTCTTGAGTTAGAGTCTATGCACTGAGACATGAGTGACACGAAACATACTGCATCTATTTAAGGTAGGGAATGTGGCAAGCTGAGATCGATACTGTCAAGGAGCCACTACTGCAGTGACAGTGAACTCGTTCATCAACCGCAGACTTCGGCCTCCTCTAAGCCTCTCAATTCCTCCAGGGTTGTTTTCATAACAGCCAGAGACCTCTGACTATTTTTACATTTTTAGCAAAACTGAATAGCTGGTGTGTGCGTGCGTGTGTGTGTGTGTGTGTGTGCGCACTCAAGAACCTTAAAACAGGGCTTCAATTCAAAACCTAAATAATCTAAATAATCACAAATTGAATACTTTTGGTATTTTTTCACTCAAAATATGAAAATATCAACAACTACATTTTTTTGAGTTTTAGAACAACAAAAAAAGTTGTGATTATCCTTTCCATGATGAAAAAAATAAAATTTTCTATCACCTAGTACAGCAAAAATTCTATATACTGTGAAGAAAGGCAGGAAGACTCATTTGCAAATAGAAGCAAAGACAAATATATACATTTAATCTTCATTAAATTGCAAGCTTTCACTTTATCAAGAAATGATTTTTAAATTTGCAATTTGTGCAAACCTTTAAATAATTAAGTTTAGTTTTTTAAAAAGTGGTTCATTCAGTTTTTTAAATTATTTCATGGTTTCCCACAGAAGATCTCAGTTCTCAGTAATTACATTTTGGAATTAAATGGTTTTCTTCAACAATGCTTGGAGATCTATACCAATCCAACAGCCAAGGTAATAAGTTATCATCATTTCAATCTTCCTAGTAAATAAAACTGTGAATACATTTAAACTGAATACTGTATTGATTTTACTCAATTATCCTGAAGAATACAGTCAGTTTTAAATTGCACTTATTTTACCTGCAAGGAATACCTCCTTTAGAATAAATAGCAGCAAATGCAGAAGGGGCTCGTGACTGTTCACCAAACTGAAATAAAAAATGAAAAAATATCACCACCACCTCCACTCATGCTATCCACTTAATTTTAATCCTGAGATCAGAGGCAAACAGTCACTCTGATTTTCAAACTGCCATTCTGGATTACATACATCATTCTTGCTCAGCAATAACTGAGAAAAATTGTCTCAGTACTATTAAAACCACAACCACACTTTGTACATTTTTTGTTAGTTACCTTTAACTTGTTTTAGAAGGTTTGAAGGTGGCTCAAACTCTAAATAGGCTGAGTCAAGGTGAGGGCTGAATGGAAAAATGGCATTAAATACAGAGGAAGTGTCTCTGTTTTTAGCTACCAGCATATCTCCAACCTTCCCCTAGCCAAATAAAATGGTGTGTATAGTTATAGAATCTGTACCATTTCTCCAGACTTCCTTTATTTTTCTATTAAAAAAAAATTAGGTCAAAGCCCGGTGTGGTGGCACATACCTATAATGCCAGCGCTCTGGAGGACTAAGGCAGAAGGATGACAACTTTGAATCCTGCTTGGGCAATTAGGAAGACCCTGTCCCAAAATTTAAAAAATAAAAGGGCTGGCGATATGGCTCAGTGTGAAGGCACTTGATTCAATTCCCAGTACTGCAAAATGAAACAAAATAAGCTGATTACATCTTAACGGAGTGAGAGAACCAATGATGGTGCAAGGGTCTCACAAATGCACAGCTGAAGGTACTTTCTTGGATTATATAACTTCAATCCTTCCAGTTCTGCTATAGAGTAAAAAGTCTCCAGCCTTTTTGGCACCAGGGAGGTGTTCCACAGACAGTAAGGGTGTGGTTAGAGGTGTGGGGATGATTCAGATGAACATGAACTTAAGTCCCTGGCGTGTGGGGTTCACAGTAAAGTATGTGATCCTAGGGATGAGAAGCTAATGCCCTCAGTGCTCAGGCAATAAAGCCAGGGGTAGGGAGCAGCCAGAACTACAGATGAAGCTTCGCTAGCTAGCCCCCTGCTACAGACCGTACCCCTATCATATTAAGAACAGATTAATAATCCTACCCTCTAAGATGAGATAGTTAATTAACAAATCAACTGACCATAGCATAAATAATTTCAACATAATTAATCACAGACTTGAGAGTTTACGCACAAAAAGTATTTTATCTCTTGGTACTCTGAACATAATCACATGAAATATAACTGTCTAAATTACAAAATAAAAATTTAACAACCTATGATAAAGATATAAGTAGCTTTATTTAAAAAAATACAAAGCTTAAAAATAAACTCGGAGTACAATTTGACATGATCAATTGAAAGTAATTTTTAAAGCTTGTATTGCTTTAAAGCAGGAATTATGACCAGAAGAGTGAAACATTCCTCTATTACTATGAATTACTACCCAGCTTGGACTGAGTTTTAAAACCGAATTTTGCATCTCACACTTGTCCTCCATATGTGTTTTTCCAGAGGAAAAAGGAGTTAATTCTGAACAGATACTCTATTCCAGTGATGGCAAATGTTTTAGAGCTTTCAATGACACAAGAAGCCCACTGTAGCACATGCGCCATAGGTCCGCCACCACTGGCCTCCCTCACCCAGCATGCGAGATGGTTTTGCATTGCCACCTTGCAGTTTACACCGCTACTGAACTATTTTGAACGCCATCCAGAGTTCCTTCTATTTGCTACTTCTGAGCTACTGATGAAGGAAGAGTACAGGGTAATTAGGATGAAGAACTGAGATAATGTTGCGTATGTAGGAGTGAGTGTGGAGATGAGGCATAGAGACTAACAGGTTCTGATTTGTTTTCTATCCTGGCATCAATGAGAAACCTGTTCATTTTCCATATTCCGCTTGCTTAAAGTCAAACAACAGCCTCCGCTGCTCTCAATCCCCTTCAAAGCAGGAAACAATTATCATCTTACTCTGTATCAGTGGTGGCAAACCCTCTAGCAGTAGGCTGCTCATATCATTGAAAGCTCTAAAGGGTTCACCATCACCGCTCCATCCCAAGGTGAGCACAAGGCAGACAACACTTGGTGCTGCACAGATGTTTTACTTTTGGGACAATTCAATGACCTACAGAGTTACAATTCATACAGTTCCATATAAATAAACCTTGTATTTTGCTAAATGTGATTGATTAAATTCCCTTAGAGAGGGAAAACGGAGGCTAGTATTACAGTCAGGACTGGTGACAGAACTAGTTTATAGAATGTAAAGGAATGGCCAAATATCTTTATGCAAGTATACAAGCATATCAACTGAAAATAAAAAACAAAGTTGACATGCGCTCTATTTTCTGCTCTACATGGGTCATCAATGAATCTGACAGGGGACACCTAACCAAACTAGTTCAAACCGAATAAGCGCAGAAAATCAGACCAGAACTTGGAACGACGGTGCAATAGTAAGAGGTTAAATGCATATTACCCTTAAAAACCTGTGAGTTGAGAATCTTCTTTTGTACTTACAGGGTTAATTGTTTTAGGGTTCAGTTTATCACTTGGTCGAGGATGAAGCTTTCTTAGAGCCTCTGGAGAACTAGCTGACGATGTGGATCTGCTTCGCTGAACTGCAGTCCTCTGTCTTATCTGTGCAGCTACAGATGTCCTTTGATCACAGTTACCTGGAAAAAACAGGTATCAACTACAAATAGGTGAGAGTAATAAGTACTGATAACACAGAAGGTCTCACTAACAAAGCTGGCTTCTTCCTTTAGAAAAAACAAAATTCTGACCTGTTACTCTGCTTCTCAGCTCTTCACCAGCAGGACATCCTGATTTCTGCATTGCTTCTGTTTTACTCTGCAGTTGATTTCAAATCTTGTTTATCTGTGATTAATACAAAGATCAAAACAGAACACAGTATAAAACAGAGTAAAATACACATAAAATATATAGCACAGAGCCAAATACTTAAAAAAGAAACTAGGGGAAGGCATCAACTTTGTTAATTACAGTAACATCAAAAATACAAACCATTTTTTTAAAAAATACAAACCATCTGCAAGAAAACAAAATATATAAAAATAGATTTTTCCCACTTGAACTGTCAACATACAATGTAAGCTCATCTGCAGTACTCTGGCCACGTAAAAAAATATACACACCAGATTTTTGAAAGGAGTGGTTTGTACATCCTCTACTTATGCCAAAAAGCTGTTTCTGTAACACAAAAATGCTTTATATTTTGAATGAGTTCAAAAGTCTCTGAAGTTTCTCATTTGAAAAATTTTTAAACATGCTAAAAAATTGGGCTTCCTAAGTTTTTAATATACACAGAACAGTTTTATATGCAACATATGTAACCTTCAGCAACTACAAATGTACAATAATGCAAGTATTTCTGTGTATAATTTCAAAATATCATATATATATTAGTGTCTCTCCAAAACAATTTCTTTTTCACTCGTTAAAATGATCCCTTTTTAAGGCAAATTAAATCTGCTCAATTACAAAAAAAGAAAAGGAACTACTTGGGAGCGCAATATCAACAAGATTCAACATGAGCTGTCTGTCTAAGAAAAATGATTAATTCATCTTGCCCTCGAGTGCTTTTTTATTAAATTCCGTGTGGAGAATGGTGATACAGGGAAAGTGAAGAGGTAAGAAATACTTTGTGTTGTAAACACTACAGAGGTCACCTTTCATTTCACTCTTTTGTGGAATAACATAAAGATATTAAAGACACAGCAATCATAGCTTCGCCAAACATGGAACTCCTAGCTATGTCACGATATCAGAAAGAAAACAAAGCAACCCGTGTCAATGATAGAAAATCACACTATCATGGCTTGGGACAACTCGAATACCCTATTCATTTCACTGTAATATCTTTTTCATCCCAAACACAGGTTCTGAGACCACTGCACTGCGTGCTGAAACAAAACAAAACAGAACAAACTCTAGGGGCAGAGCCCACCGTTTTTCCTACTCTCTAATCTGAAGACTACAAAGCTCCAAAAGTTTAAGGGGCCCTTCACTCGGGAAGCTGCGTTCCACAGTTAAAGCTCTCTTAAATTCCGAGGGACAGAAAGAGTGCGACACCCATGTATCCCAATCAGTTCTACCCTAAAGAAATCCGAAAATGCGCCTTCTATTTTTCCACCATCTTCTCCATCACCCGCCTCCGAATACCTAATTCCTAGTTTCCGGGCCAGTGAGTTGTCAAAGTCAGAAATCCAGTAGGAGACGTAGAAAACAAGGGCAAAAAGATGTTAAAAACCGGGAAAGCGGAAGGTGGACGGTTTCAGATACGGCCTACGAGGGCCGGGGACTTAGCTCAGTGGTTCTGCCACCTGCCTCGCAAGCGCAAGGGCCTAAGTTCGGTCCCCGGTACAAAACAAAACACAAATACGGCCTACGAAGACTGACCCGGGAAAGGCGGGGCGCTCGCGGCGCTCTGGACGCCCGGGTCCTTAGCAACCGCATCCGGCTGCAACGGATCCACCGCCCGCTAGGCAGCCGGCTCAAACCAGTGTGCCGGCAGGAACCTCATCCCTGCGGCCCCGCTTAGGTTACTCGTTCCTACCACGCCCCTCTGCCGCCGCGTTCTTCACACAGCCGCCACCTACGTGGGGATCGAAGCCCGCGCCTCCGAAGAACAACAACCACAGGAGCCAGCGCCGACCGCTTGAGTTCAGGAAACTAGGCTTCGCGCCGCTGGCGTCCCCGACGCCGCGCACTAACGTCAGACGCACGCTGCGTCCTCTAAACCAATAGCAGAGAGGCTGCCTTAACGTAGTTGTCGACGGTTACCGTGGCAACCAAATGAGTCGTTTCAAAGATCCTTGCTTACGCAGGGGGAGCGATGTTTATGACTAAACGGCCGCTGGTGAGAGGTCTTTAAGGATGAGAGCTTCTGGAACCAGAGATGACTAATTGCAGTCCCCTCCTCTCCAACCTCTTCTCTCAAATATTTAGTGTTCTCTGTTCTGCCCGTGATATTCTAAGAGCTAGGAATTGTGAACTCCTGTTCCAAAGCCATTTGGCCCAACCAACTGTGGAATTTACCTGACCTTCCTGTTCTATCTAGCTAATGCATAAACCCAGCTGTTGAAATCGCTTCCATATGCTATTACATTCAACTACAGAATACATCATTTTCCTAGTAATTAAAAAGCATGTGCTTTTGTCCTCAGAATTATTTTAACTAATCTGGTGGTGCAGAAAAATGTGTTTCCTCTTGCTCTTCCGCCAGCGTCAAGTTGGGTTGTCTTAAGCGCTGAAACTCTTTTAGACCTGTCCATTGCAATCTTTCCTAACCTTCTGCAGTTGCCAACCCAGTCTTAACTTTCTACTCAGGAGATGCTGAGGTACACAATGGTGCAGTCCTTCCGTGCCCTTATAGCTCTATTCTTGTTACCTGACTGTAACACCAGAAGCACCTCTATTAGGGTGTCTGTCTCTTCAGGATAAAGACTTCATCTTTTTTTTTTTTCTCTCTCCAGCTTCTAGTTAGTACTCAGGAAATGCTTTCTGAGTGAATAAAATGAATGAATGAATGAATGAATTCTGCCCATACTTAATTTCACTAATGCTTTAAGTAACTTGCATAGAAACTTACTTTAATTTTAAAATGTATTATACTGTCCAAGTCTATATTTTCCATGAGGGTCAAATTGTCATCGTTGCTTCTCTATCCCCAGCACCTTTCACAGTGCAAGCTTAACTAATGGTTTGAAAAAAATGTAGAAAATTTTAAAATGTCCTGTATCTTCAGCTACTTTTGCCCTATAACTTATTTTCTCCATCTTTCTCAGGCCCTATTATATCTTCCTTACCACTAGAATTTTCAATGTCAGACTCAGAACTGCTTGCTTTTGACCTTCTAATCCTTCTATTCTGGACTAAAACAATGATTTGTATTTGATATTGCAGAGAAGCCATATGCATATTGCTCTGAAGATTAACTCTAAATCTGAAACTCACTGAACTTCTTATTAGCTACAATGCCTGTGCAGAGCAACTCCTCTAACCCTAAATTCTCCCCTCATCATGGGGGCCTTGTGAGTCTAAACAGCAAGAATAAAGTACCTGACACATAGAAAGTGCTCGGCATTAGCTAGTATAATTATCCAGGTAAAAATGAATTAAAATTAACAAGCAGAGGCCCAGGTGTGTGGCGCACACCTGAAATTCCAGCACTCTGGAGGCTGAGGCAGGAGCATTGCCGTGAGCTTGAGGCCAGCTTGTGCTACATAGTGAGTTCAAGGCCAGCCTGGAGTACATAGCAATACCCTCTCTCAATAAAATAATATAAGCATACAGGGCACTATAAGTAGCAAAAGTCTCAACCTATATCTTGCAATATTAACCATGGACAATGTCTTAAATTTTCAGACCTTCATAATAACCACTATTGCCTGTGTAACTCTTTCTTAATCATAATTAAAACAGCTTCTTCTGAACTTTCATTTTGTAAAAGAAACAGGCTCATTAGTGTTACAAATTTGTCAAAATATCATGCAATAAAGAATGGATGTTTTAAAACAACTAGCTTGAGAAGCCTGTGAGGTGTCCAGATGAAGACAACCAGCAGAGAGTCGGATATGTCCATCTGGAGTCTAGGGGAGGGTGTAGGCTAACTTGCAGATCTTAGAGCCATCCACGTATACATGATACCCAAGGTATGGAAGTAGACCAAGTCCAAGAGAATATGCATGGCTTGAGAAACAGCACTGACCGTGGACGTTTGTGTGTGACTTCTGCTCTGGTTTTAAGTTGAAATTCTATATTTGGGAGAGGGTGTAGAAGAATGAGGGTGATCCAGGGATTTAGCTCAGTGGTGCCACTGCCTGCCTGCCTTGCAAGTGCAAGGTCCTGAGTTTGATCCCTGGTAACAAAACAAAACAAAAGAGGGAGAGAAACTGACCTATGTGTCTAGAAGTATGATGATTATTCTGAAAACAGAATATGCCATATGTTTTCTGTCTTTGCAGGTCCACTCTCCAGCTTCTGCCCTACTGTCTGCCCTGAGGAAACTTAATGGTACGAATCGAGTCAGTGTGGTTCCTATACCCTCCAGCTTCTGTTTGGGTTTGGCTAATGCACAACACTAATGACAGATTAAAGAAATTAGGGTATAGTGAAGTCAGTGTATCTTTCCTCTTTCTCCACCTATACGAGGTACCCCAGGGTTCCTTGTTATTCTTAAGTGAAGGCTACAGCTCCTTTCTGCTATGATCAGAATTTCTGGGTTTCCTCCAAATTCAAATGTTGGAATCCTCACCCCAAGCTAATGATATAAAGAGGTGTGGCTCTTGAGAAGTAATTAGGTCATGGGGAGAGCTGAGGACTAGAGAGTGCCCTACAACAGAGGCTTGAGACCACTCCTGCCTGCCACCATGTAAGGATGCAGTTAGACGGCACCATTTATGGACAAAATAGGACCTCACCTGACACAGAATTTGCTCATGACCTGATCTTCGATTTCACATGCTCCACAACTGTGCAAACTACACATTTGTTGTTTATAAACTACCGAGCCTGTCATAATTTATTCCAGCTGCCTTGAACAGACTAAGATTAAGACTGTCTAAATGGACAACTAGGGATAGGCACAAAATAGCAGGGACTTCTAGTTCTGGATTATTGTACTGTCTATGTGATTCACCTACACCTTTATATATAAAAGATTTTTGAATGTTTCTGTTTATAGTATGTTACTACATATTATATAAATTGTGACTTTGGTAATTAATCTAACCAACGTTCAACATTCAGGGCAATAGGTTAGGTTTTCTCATTTTTTGATTCACTTTGGTTGATTGAGTGAATTCACTACTTTTGTTTGGTAACCAAGCATTTTAAAGAAAACATCAGTGGTATTAATGGCTTTGCCTTAATCACTGTGGAAAAAAGTCTCTTCCTTTTTGTACAAATTACAGACCAAGCAATCATTCCCAGTGATTATTCCCAAGTTCCATCACCAGGAAATGAAATACAATACATTTTGTATATAATTGCCAGTACACCCTGTAAGGGACTGTTAGACATCATCATTATAAAGTCATTAAAAGTCACTTGCACATGGAAAAAATTAAGCAGTGATAGTGGCTCCTTAGGTGAAAGAAAATGGTATTAACATAGACAAGCATATAAGACCCCGTTGTTCAACAGAAAAAATGATGCAAGTCACATAGAAAATTTCCAAGTAGATATATTTTTAAAGGTAAAAAGAAAAATTGAAATCAATTTTAATAAAGTATTTTAAGACAATGCATCCAGAATATCATCACTTTAAAAAAGCCGGGCATGGTGGCGCATGCCTGTAATCCCAGCACTCAGGAGGCTGAGGCAGGAGGATCGCTGTGAGTTCGAGACCAACCTGGGCTACATAGTGAGTTCCAGGTCAGTCTCAGCTACATAGTGAGACCCTGCCTCAAAACAAACAAACAAACAAACAGAATATCATCACTTTAATATGTAATTAATAACATCATTAATGCGATATTTTATTTCTTACTATCTTGCCAGGTCTTGAAAATCAGTGTGCATTTGGCATTTACAGTACATTTCAATTCATATTTGACTCATGTCAAGTCTTGAAGACTCACATATGGCTAGTGGCTACTATGCTGGATAACAAAAACAGAGCGAGCTGAGCCACAGATAGATAAGTATTATACAAAGTAAATATGTATATAAAGTAATTACCCAGAAACATTGTATGTGAAATGCATTGTTTGGTGTTTGAAGACGAACACCTATGAATTTGGCAAGAATTTCAGAGTAGACTCAGTGCAAATAACTACTTCCTCTATGAGTCTTAGTTGTATGTAATTTCTTTTATAAAATATCCCTCTTCTTCTTGGAAGTGTGTTGGGCGAATGAGACTTTGAGGAGTGAGGTATCTGATCCTTAGTCATCTGTCTTTGTCCTTGTGAATTGCTTGTTTGTGTCTCTTCTCAGGTCTCAATGGGAGTAAATTCCACTGTCCTCTGAACTTTCCAGGACATATTGTATTCTTCTGGTGTAAAGTGAAAAAAATCTATCAGTTGACTTCTGCCCTGTTGAGATCATTGCATGGGAACCTGTGAAGCTGCAATAAAATCTTTTACCTAGACACACTTGGTAGCCATTTCTTCTCATCTGACACCCTGCTAGTTTAAGGGAAAGCTATAGCTTTATTAGTTCGAGGACGTTCTCCTTGGGGATAGGAGGAAGGTAGGACAGGCATATTGTCTTTTTGCTCTCAGACATGGTTTTGACTCTGACTGATGACGTATTCTTTCCATTAATAGCTGTCCCTGAACTTGGCTTTTGAAAGTCAAAAATCAAGAATTTCACTCTTATCAAATTTTGACAACCTCTCTCTGAGATACTAAGCATAGAATATTTTTGCATGGCAGATGGTATAGGGTGGCAGGAAATACTATGTTTACAGAAGAAAATTACTATATCAGTTTATAATTGATTTCTATTATCTTCTATAATTTTTATCAATTTTATAGATGTATAATCAATTAATAAAATTTGCATGTTTTGATATACATACATGTCATAAAGTTATTATAAGCAAAGTAATTAAAATATCCATCACCCATATAGTTATCTCTGTGTGTGTGCATGTAGTAAGAATATTTAAGATATACTGTCTTAGCAAAGTTCAGGTATACACTAGTTTGATGAACTAGAGTCACCATAGTACAGTTTAGATCTCCACAGTTTATTCACCCTGCAGAACTGGTGCTTTCTATTCTTTGTCTGACACCTCTCATTTCTCCCATCCTCAAGTACAGATTTTTTAAAATTCTGAAATGGCACTAAGAATAAGATACAATTTAATGAGCATTTTAGCTCCACCATAGCCAATTGCATTGAGGATTAGATAAGGAATGGGATTATTCAAATGCCTACTAGAAGGTAGAACGTTAGCCACCATTTCAGCAGTTCCTTACATCTTAGGTACTTATTTTTAAAGTGTGGGCTGGGTCCTTCACAGAGTCATTTGTGACAGGAGAAAAAGAAATGGAAATGGTGAAGCTCATCTCTGTGGCCCTCCGACAAGTGCCCGTACTAACGAGGTCACATGCTTTCATTCCCTGTAACTCCAGCAGGTGAGAGAACGGTACAGTCCTTCGCTGAGCATAAGCATTTATTGGTAAAATTTTGTTTGTTTTATTGTTTGTCTACCCAGACCACACCACTTCTGATCTGTAGCTTGCAGAAGGGGCTTTACGTCACTGCTCCTTTCAGTGTGGCTGCTGGGTCAAAGTCAGCATCATTATCCAGGTCATTGCTAGGACTGCAGAATCTCAGGCCCTGCCCCAGCTCTATCTCAGCAGCAGAATATACTTTCCCGGATTCCTCAGGTAGGGAAAAGGACTATACAATTTCAGAGGAATTGGTTTAAGAATGTGTGAGGGAGAAGTAGTGATGATAATAAATTATTCCTGTGAAATTGTTATTAAAACCACAATATCAGAACAGAGGAGAATGTAGTTCTCTATTGAGGTACATCAGAATATAAGTTGGGCGGGACTTGGTCAAAGATATACCAAGAATAACATGCTAGAATTATGTGGGCTATGGTAGGCTGGAGTACCATCCTCGAAAAATTCACATGTTTCGAGGATGTAATTAAAATTCGCAGTTCCTCAGAAAATGACCTTGTCTGGAAACGGACCTTTGCAGATGTCATGAGTTAGACTCAGTGTGGCTCATCAGGACGAGGAAGATGAAAGCAGAGGTCTGGGGGATGCAAAAGAAGCCACGAAACACCAGTGATTTCTAATCAACCGCCAGAAGCTTGATGAGGGATGGGGGATAGGTTTCTTCCCAACAGCCTTCAAAAGAAACGATATCAGATGTCTAAGCTCCAGATCATAATACAATACATTTTTATCCCTGAAGCCACCTTGTCCGTGGCAGTTTGTTAGGGTAACCCTAGCTAACTAATACATTTTTAAAAATGTTCAGGGCCTCCTAATTCATATCACAAGGTGTGTTGTGGCTGTAGTCTGTTGAAAAGTTATATTAAATTTTGAAAAAACAATTTTGGGAGAAACAAATCAATTTGCTGATAGGTATATCAGGCTTTGAACACATGATTTTAAGTAGGTTTTTATGCAACCCAATAGTGACACTATTGCTAAAATATATATTGAAAGTGGTGGGGAGAGGTTAAGATTTACTTTGTAGTTTTTAAGTCATTCCCATATTGTGGAAGTCATAAAGGTTTCTCACCATAGCATTTAGGCAATTCAAAAATTTGAGCTACTTACTTTGTTTTTCCTAGCAATTTACCTACTAAACTTGAGGGAGTAAATCTTTGCTGCTTCCCAGAGCTGATGAGAAAATATCCCAGATAGTTTATTGTATGAATTGTACTCTTGTGAAGCTGGAGTGTAGATTTGTCAAAGGAAATATTAAAAGAATTGTCAAAAGAGACAATATATGCACAAAATTTATAAGGCTGCAAATATAAGAAATGAATACAGGCTTGGTTCAAAGCAATAATATTTAGATTTAAGGCGGTGACAAATAACTATAATTATTAAAAACTCTATACTTTACAAAAGTGAGCCTTTTGTCAAAATTGATTTAAGTTCATGAACAAAAGGCACAAAAGATAACAGGCTCTTGAGAGAGATTATATTTATGTCTTACTAAAATCTCTATTCAAGCAAAACACACAGAAGGCAAAGAATAAATTTTGCTATTTCTTCTTACAAGAGGACTGCTGATTCAGAGTGCACATTTCAGGAAACAATAAGCAACTGTTTGATTAACTAATTAATGGTTTCATTGGGAAAGAAAATAAAAATATTGCTCACTTGATTAGGGATCATGTCGCAAAGCTTGTTGAGCGGAAGGTAGTTTCTGCTGTTTCTGAACAGATTGAACGATACTATGCTGGAACAGTGTTGCTTTTGCTCTCCGCATCTGCTGTAACAAATATCACACTTAAGGATTAGTACAATGCATATTTATCATATAGTGCTGGAGGCCAGGTCTGGGACTGACAGGCCTGCAACCAAGGTGTTTATCAGACTGTTTGCCTTTCTAGGGACATAGGAGGCTCATTTAAGTTGCTGGAAAAATTCAGCGCTACATATTTTGATCCTGAGGTCACAGCTTTCTTACCAGCTTTCTCCGGAGCGTCCTTCCAAACTTCTGGAAGTTATTCTACTCCTAAGTCATTCCTAAAGAGTCTTATAGTTAGATTCAGTCCACATATCGGGCTGTGTTCTTTTAACATGATGACATACATGAGACAGGGTAACTAATAAAGAGGAGAGGTTCATTTGGCTGAGAATTTTAGAGACCAGAAGGCAAGACAGCCTGGTATCAGTTATGTAAAGGGCTGCCTGGCCTATGTCACACCATGAAGGGCTGCATCCTGGCAGGAGAGTGAGGACAGAGAGACTGCAGATTGCAACAGGATGCCAGAGAGAGAGATCAGGGAGGCATCAGGAATGACATACCCTAAGTCCACTTTTTAAAGATCTCACCACTTCTTGACATTACTACCTAATATACGGACCATTTTGGGACGGAGTCAAGTTATATCCCAACAGAGCAGCCCGCTGTATAATCTGGGGCTGTCTTCCCACTTCAGGGTGCTTGACTCTAATGGGATCTAAAAAATCATTTTGTCACATGAAATAACATGTGTGTAGGTTCTGGGGACTTACAGTGCAAATATTTTTGAGGGATGATTATTCTGCCCACCACCCATGGACCACATGATGATACCTCTTCCTGTGTTAGGAGAAAATGTAGATGGAAATAGTGCTTTTCACTGGGGGATATAGTTTGTTAGTTAAAATCAGGACAAGTCTACAATTGATTCAGTGGCTAGAGAAGGGTTAGAAGGGACTTTGGAGGACTTATATGTTGGCTGTTTGTCTATGTTGGTTTTGTGAATATTCAATAGTTGAACATATATCTACATTGGGTATTTTTGTATGTGCATGCATGCTATAATAATTATTTTTTAAATCAAAGCAACCACTGCAAATCAATACTACAGTATTTTTTTCATTATTAGAGGTTTATGCACAGGCTTGGTAAGATTAAAATATGGAATATGACACTTTAAGTATTTTTCAATTAAAAAATTCAAAAGTGATCAAAGTTTCTTTGTTACAGAAGGAATCGGTAAGTGACATACAGAGAGGCAGCAGAATGGAAGTAAAATAACAAATTTACTCTTTGATAAGGGTCGATCACACATAAGCTGTGCCTGGATCGACGCCACACTGGGTTACAACTCTTCCTTTTATAGGGTTTCACAGCCTTGACTTCATTTGGGTGGTTACATTTCATTCTCACAGTTCAAATCACGGTCACGGGATAGTTAATCTTTTCAACTCAGACGTAACAGCTCTTTGCAGTTGCAGTTTACCTTTAAGATTCGCCTAGTTACCTATTCTAGTCCATAGGAAGGTGGTGTTCAGGGTCGGGGGAGCAAATGTTAGCAATAGGTTCTTTCATCCAGACACTCACGATCATGTTGCTCCAGTCTCTTCTGAGCTCAAGGTCTTGATGTGCCCTGTTATCTCACAGACCAAATGCCTCATTCAGCAATCAGTGCCTTCAGTGGCTATTAGTTCTGAGAAAAAAAAACTGCTGTTAGAGACAGCAGAAGCCATTTTGCATTGTAGCACTTTATAGGTTTTTGCTATTTATAAAAGTTTTCCCTATCATCTTTACTTCACATTTCTATCTTTGAGTAATCAGGATTGCCAAATAATGTGATAGGCTTACATATAATCCTTTGTGAATGGGAAATCATAAAGACAATTTGTCTTATTATTAATAAGTATAATATTTTCTTCATCAAACAATAAACATAAATAGTCTGGATATGCCAAGATAAGTTAAAGAAGTGCTCCTAGCTGTAAGGAGCTAATGACAGATTTGCATACTACAAATAATAATAACAATAATAGATGCATTCATATATATTTGTATAAATATATGTATCATTACACTGGGGCAGAGTTTAAGGAGCAATTAACAGTATTTTAAGAGTACTCAGAAAGGCAGTTATAAAATACTACAAAGATGTTCTTTCTAAATTAGGCTATGAAAGATAAGTTGAATATTTCAG